TCGTAACCGGATTCCTTCAAACTATGAAGACCACCTGGTGACAAAATATTGTCAACAAGCGTACAGAAACCGACTTTTGCAGCTACGAAACTATTTGCAATGATATTACAATCATGATTCCAACATTTTACTTGTATTTCTTACTTTAACGCTATTTTTCTGTTAGTCGATGTAGTATCAGCTAATTGTAGGAAACATTCTCATTTGATCAAATGCATTTGTGATTCGTTTTAAGTGACATCCCCTCGCTTGAGTGGCCAAATATAATTTTCAATAAACTGAATGGATGGTTGGTAAAAAATGCCTTTAGGAAAAGGCTAACTGGTGAATATCGTGAGGAACAGGAACGACGACGGCAAAGTACCAGTCAAGGCGAGGATGATGTCTATACACCATCGTCTAGTGACGATCAAACCTACAGGGAGACAAGCTTTTAAATAACATTTGTCGCCATTCATCTAACCGATATTGTACCATATTAAAGGCAAATAATTCTATGAATTTTGCACATAGTTTTGTAAATAGTGGCTGAATGGAGGTCAGCTTGAAAAGTGGGTACTTCGTACCTCAAAATTTAATATTTATGTGTTGTAAGTAGAAGCTCAGTTTGTGTTGCGACATTCGCTAAATTTTTGAAAAACCTGGCATGATTTTTGTTGATTGATTGACTTCTACCGTTTGAGACAAACATTATATGACGCCTGCGGTTGCGTTGCGTGCTTCAGCTGAGCGCGATCGATTTTCAGTTTGTTCAAGAAGGAGTTCCGATGTCAACTATGCTTTTTGTGGTTCTTGTCGAGGAATCATTATTGTTGTACTGTATGGTAATAGCTCGATAAAACGTTCAATTGCTTATTAATCTGGATTAGAGCTTTAGTAACTGATATTATCTAATGATGAGCTAATTTGTCCTTGGTCAATTACGATATTTCTCAAAGTATTGTACTGTGCTACTCGAATTGTAGTTTCTAACTAAATTATAGTAGGGCTGACTCATAGCTTATCCAATTTGTACAGAATGGTGTTATACTGTGCTCGAATGAAAGTGCTGAGATCAATTTATATTGATTTTGTAAACATTTGTCAACCATAAAGAGCTTGATTGCATCTGTTATCAACCGTTTCATAAAACATGGCTAGAAGGTAGCATGTACGGTAGTGTAGCTGAGTGGATAATTTGGGAGTACAGCAAAAAGGTGGAAGGATTCCCGGCTGCGTAAGATGAAAGTAGAATGCATGGCGCATCCCGTTGCCTGTTAGTCAAGACTAGGTCAACCCACAGTATCCACTAATGTCGTTCGAATGAAGTAGTTGCTTCTAAAAAGCACTCTACTCGTGACATTGATGAATCAACAACCCCTGATGGGTCCCTGATGTCTCATACATGTCGCCCATTGAAGCGATTGGCCTTGGGTGCATGGGTAAGAGCCGAGAGCGTCAACTAGGATTCAGGATATGGGGCTAACAAGCAAATAGTTTTGTTAGAGGGCATATGGAAAGGGTAAAGCAGTAAATGGCGGTGGTAAGGGTCCACAAATATCTATTATTGCGCCATGTAATTGTTATCTATGCAAAATTAGAAAATGCATTTGTACTGTCAGTCAGAGAGTGTATAGAATTGAGAAAGGCACGATTCCAAACGGTCCCTCGCGTTGCCAGAATCGACTTCAAGAAGTACGAGGGCTGCGTTCACCTGGAAAGAGATCAACTACGTAATTGAAGATGAAACTAGCGTTTGGTTCCTGCCCGCTTTCTTTTTCTTCCTTGGAACATGTACATATTAAGATTGAATCACTGGATTGGAAGGAGCAGTTGGCGATCCATTATCAAATTAGACCAAATTTTCCCTCAAATTCAACTTTCAAATGAATTGTTTTGTATGCCTCCCAAATGGGTGATAATATCAATCGATTTCACATCGACTTATCGACTTTTGCGGATTTGCTTCCATCATGGGTTGCTATAGACCGAATTCTTTGAAGGTTATCTCCATACGCCTCAACGTTGGATGAGAAGTCTCAATTCGATCCTTCAAAGATCGGGGTGAACCCTTTTCTCACTTCCAAAAAAGACTTCGATGAATGGGTATGTCTTGAGGACCTGATGACACGCCCAAAAGGATAAACTTTTTGGCGTTTATCAATCCTGTTTTGGGTGCTTCCCAGCACTGGACTTCCATTCGGAATCGTAGTGACGTTTCGAGTGCATGCGGCCCATACGATGAGTTGCATTGGCCAGCCGATAGACAAATCAGTGCTTTTATCCTCCCAGACGAGTCTGGTACCAATTCACCGACCCC